AAGTGAGGATTACCTGTAGTGTTGCATTGAATAACAAGGTAATTTACATATTCTCAACTGTGAATTGTGTTTGAAAGGATGCCAGTGCAAGATGATTGTGGTATCTCACCCTGGCCAGGACAGCAAGTCAAATTCTTGCTAAACTGAACCTTCCGGTTACACTAACCATGGACTGCAGGTTCTATCTATTCCAGGCAACATAGATCAATACCTTTTTCATAGTAGATACTCATGTCGACATCCCAGTCATCAGCTGTCTGTTCATCAAAATCTGCCAAAAGAAAGGTTCTGTGTCAAGAAAGGAGTATATGCAACTCACTGCCACCACCCTTCCTTTACTAATATCACCCTCCTTTAAATTCTGCATGTGCTGAAAGAAAGCCAAGTTATATATCATGTTTCATTCATAGCTTTTTATAAAATGGGGACATGAAAAGAGCTACCCTCTCCTCCATGAACTTGCCCTATACCAATAATATCTATTAAAGCTTTGCTCTAATTGTCCTCATTCTACCCTAATCTTTGGGGAGGGGAGGGAGGGAGGGAGGAAAGAAGGAAGATGGATGCCAGTAACTAACCCTGCCTTTGATATTTCTGCATTAAATACTCCAGGCTTCAGCATTTCCATATGTTTCATTAATAAGAGAGGGCCAAGCATTTACAAACAGGATACAAAAGCATATCATTAAAAAAGCATCTGGATTTTAGTAGCAATACAGAATTAAACTAAGACATTTACAAATTTACCTGCTCCATCTTCTTGCCAATACTGTGCATCTGTGTAGAACACCAATCCAGAGCCTCCTTTCTCCCACTTTAGTTCAATTTCCTCCTCATACAAACGTTCCTTTGTGCGTTCCTGGCTGGTGACATCTTCATGCAAGGCCTCATGCCGTTCCCACTCTTCACATCTATCATCATCATCCTCCTGTAGCAGAACCAAAAGAATAATACAGCTGAAATTTGGCTTGGCCCCCTTTCATCAGAATTATGAAAATACCATTCTCCTTAGAAGTTTTTCTTTTTTTAAAATTTTAGCTGTGTACTTTGGGGGGAAAAAGAGATCTCTCTGTTAAAGTATACAACTTCCAGTGCAAACTGTTTACCATTAGATTATCTTGGGTAGTTCTGAGAATGCAAAACTAAAAAATCTCAGTCCAAAGGCCAGAAACTCATTGGGGTTGCTTAGGCTAATCAGCTTTGAGTTCAGCTTCACAAGAACCTTTTCCAGCTTGTAAGCATTAATAAGACTTATCAAAAGAATGTTCTTTTTTCCTCAAGGAAATAAACTTGTAACTTTAATTAGATAACAACATACATGATAGCTTCATGTTTGACAATTAGAAGAAACTACTTACGCAGTCCGGTTCAGAGTCATCTGTTTCTTTCTTTTCTGGATCTTCCCGGTCATTCTCTTCTGTATCATCGTGATTTACTATCTCTGCTCTTGGCAAGTGGTCTCCTTCTGTTATTTCCTCTCCTGTAGCTGTGTAAACTCGCTCCTCTTCTATAATAATATCAGTCCCCTCATATGAAAATGGTACATTCCCATATCTGCGAGATGAGCCAGATTTAGGGAACTGCAACTGCAGCTTTTTAATTACACGGGTGGGCATCCGGCAGGTTCTGATAAGCTCCAAGAAGACTCGCAACGGAGTTCCCACGTTTCCATGAGGCATTACTGCGGGAGGATTCAACTCAGGGAGTCGTTTGAAGTCATCCTGAGTGAAAGTTTCTCTTGATATTGTATTGAGCTCCTTTTTTGTTTTGTAACAAAATATGCTGGTCTCTGCAAATAAACATATAAATATACATATAAGCATGATGGCTAATGCACCAAAAATTTGTATTCTTTAGGGCTACCGGATATGGGCTGCAAAAACACCAGATGGCAGTTGTCTTCTGGCTTTTCAGCCCACATTTGACAGCCCTAATATTTACTACGCTTGCACGGTGCTCTCACACTGTGTTTAAATTCCATTTATTTATTTGTTCAATTTATACAGCTGCCCATCATACAAAAATAATTCAAACACATTAAAAACAATAAAAGCTACTAAAACCATAAAAAACATAATCTGCAAGGGTGTAATACAATTTACTAACAATATAGCCATTTAGCAGGCTCCACATCACCACCGCCAGATCCCCAGGCAAGACAGCAAAGCCAAGTCTCAGGCTCTTTCTAAAGCCCAGAAGAGTCAGGGCCAACCTAAGTCCCAGGGAATGATGTCCCAAAGGGCAGGCACCATGGCAGAAAAGGCTCTCTTCCTGGCTCCTGTCAGATATTCATTCCTTAATAGATGGCAGCTATAACATGCCTATCCTGCAGGTTCTGATGGGATGGGTAGATGTAGCCAGGGAGAGGCGCTCCCTCCAATCCTTAAATCCTCTTTCTACTCCCTTCTTCTAGACAAGCGGTTCCTAAACCTTTTGCCATCACAACTCCCTTTAGTGTAGTCTTAATGTACACACCTCCCCTAAAAATCCAAACCCCAAAATGAACACAAATGAACAATGAAAACAATACAATGAAAGTTGGGGAAAGGTGATTTATTAACTAAAAGGTTCTTCACACCTCCCCTGGTTTCTGTCTGCATCTCCCCAAGGGGGTTTACCCCACAGTTTGAGGTTCACCTCACAAAGCCCTATTCTAGACACAAAGCCGAAGAAACTATGAAATGAAACCCGCCTGTGATGCGAAATATGTCCCAGAGCCGGTAGTGCCCGTCCCCAGGGCCTCCACTTCGGTCTCTTAATACCTTTATCTGGGGAAATCCGGACTCTTCGTATGACGCACCGCCCAGGCAACGTCTCCCCCTGCGCGTCGATCCACCGTTTGCCTGAGTACATGCGGACCAAGCGGAGAGACCACCCGGGCCTCACCGCCACCAGACAGCAGCAGGTCGGCCCTCCTGCCCTTGAAGGGCCGCTCAGCTCCTCTTCCCGTTCAGGGCGATGCCGATAATGGAAGCAAAGGAAGCCGCCGGCTTCGATGAACTGGCTGAAGTAGGAGCGGAGATCGGCGGAGCGAAGCTGGGCTGGAACGCGGCTCACCAGACAATACCGGTCGCCGCGCTGAGGGGAGGAAGAAGCGGGAGCCGCGTCGGCCATCTTGCAACGCCTCGGGCACGTCATGTGACCCACGCGTGAGCGGGTTCGCGACTGATGGCGTCACCATACGATCGAAAGACGGCTCAGGACCTCCTATGCCTTGACCATAGAGATAAGACTAAGTCGAATGGATAGAACGGTCCCTAGATAAGGAATGCTATGTTAAGGGTTCTCTAGTTGGAAATATACTTCCGGCCTACAGACTATTTGAGTTTTCCCTCCTCTGACTTCTGGCGCTCAATAAATCAGGATTTCCTTATAGAAATGCTAACGGGTAGAATTCAGAGAAGAGGAAGTATTCACTCAGGGACTGAGTTTAGATCAGTGTTTCTCAACTTCAGCAGCTTTAAGATGTGTGGACTTCAATTCCCAGAATTCCCCAGCCAGCCTGCTGGCTGGGGAATTCTGAAAGTTGAAGTCCGCACATCTTAAAGTTGCTGAAGTTGAGAAACACTGATTTAGACAACATGCCACACATAGTTTCTTTACATAACTATGTTGTATGAACCCTGCCCCTGCAGTTTCTGGACTGATATGTATTGCTTGGTCATTAAGATATTGAGGCTTATTCTGCAAGGCCTGGGCAAGTTCTGCATTCCTATTGGTTATTGTGCAGAACGGCCAACACACTGCCTCCCCTCTGGGGGGGGCTGCATCTGGGCAGCGGAACGTGCCCCTGGCTACGCTTTGCATTATAGGGGCTCCTTCTGTATCTTGGATACACAATTCTGCCAAGCAGCAATTCACCAGGTGGGTCTTGCAAATGAAGGACTGGATTTTTTTCCTTGGCAATGGACTTTTTTTTTAAATCCAGGTGAAACTGACAAGAGTTTTGCCAGTTTCCCCTAACTAGCCCACCTGACAGGAAGAATAATACCATAGTACAGTAGTGTTCCCACCACCACCACCACCAATTCCCCAGTGGATTTGTTGAAAGGGAAGGTGCCAAGTACAAATTGGACTCCACAGAGGGGGCTCATTAAAAAGGACTATCAATGGAGACCACCTCTCCTTCAAGACTTGCCCTCGGAAGGGATAGAGATTGGTCCTTGCTTTCCTGCCATATGTGGGGTGGGGGATAAAAAAGCATAGGAATCCCGCCAGCTGGGGTTTATGGTAATGCCTGTCTGGACAGAACTCTTGACTCCCCTCTTGCCAAGAGGAATGGATTGAAATCCAGCAGCAGTTTCATAAGCCAGCTTCAGTTCCAGCCAGTTTCAGCATGGGAGATGATCAGCTGAAGGCTAATGTGTGGAAGAGTCCTTAGTCCAGCCATCTGAAGTTTTATAAAACAAACATGGTTTGGCACAATATGGAAACTCCAATATAAATTGGAAAGGGCCTTGGGGCCCATTTATTAGAAATCTAGAAGTAGAAAATTTTGTCTAACCATCCTGAAAGACTTCAGCCAGTAAGAGGTCACCACCTCAAGGAAAGTCACTCCATCGCCAAACTGCTTTCTAACATTCCTCCATCTATTCCTGCCCTTTGGGAAAGCAAAGAAGAAATCTTGACCCTCTTATGACAGCTCAAGCATCTCGCTATTATGTTCCCTTCAACCTCCTCTCCTTCAGAGTAAACATAGTCATGGTCTTTGACCTTTCTTCAGAGAACCTGTTTGCTGTACCACTGACCTCCTTTTCTGAAACCACTAAAATAATGCCTATTGAAATCCAGAACTGGACACATAAGTCTTGGTTTTGGCTTAGGAGCTTGTGTCAGCCATTTTGATTTATTTATAGTTTAGCTTTATGGGCAAATCTAACTAATTGTGGCTTATTTGATAAACATGGTTAAGCAAATTGTGGGTTAGGGCAACCTTTGAACCTAGACATCATGTTAAATTGGTAATATATATCCTTTCATTCTTATTAACAGACAGTCACTGAACAAACTGCAAAACCTTTTATTTCTTTTTTTCCTTAAAAAATAATAACTTAGCATGTCTTACTACATACAAATCACAAAAAATACCTGCTCACAAAATACTAACATTGGAATCAAGCAGGAAAATGATGAATAGTGTAAAATGATATTTTCTGACCTTAGCTCTCCTCAATGCACAAATCTTTTATATAAAGTCAGGATGCATGAAAATAAAGTATCTGCACCTGAAGATTGGAATGTATGACTTTGTAGGTCAATATTTTTATTTTAAAAATTATTCAGTTGCATTTTTGTAAGTCCATATCCTTTTTAGGAGCTGGGAGAAGTTGGATGTATTCTGAAAGACCAGAAGACTCTTTTTTACTGGGAAATCCTGGGATCATGGTTTGGGAGGGAAGGTGTGGAATATGTCCCAGCCAATGGCAGTTCCCAGGAGTCTTTCTGTAGGGAAGACATCCTTACAGAAACTGAACTTTGAAACCAAAACCAATATAAATGAAGTAAAAGTCAATACTGTATGCCTCACTTTGGAGCCGCAGGCACGTTTGAGTAAGATTGGTTCAGGCAGGGCTTTTCTTCCATAACTACTGTAGTGGCAATTGGTGTCACTGAGCACCCAGGACTTGGCACAATTTACGGTGCCAATACATTTGCTACAAATGCTGCTACTCCGGCACAGGAGTTACCTACTCCAAACTCCCTGCTACAAGTGCCATACTTCACAGGGCTTGGGTGCATGTTGCATTCTTGTCCAGAAAAAAAAGTAGGAATTTGCTCGCTAGCACCCTCTTTGCTTGCAAAATGGCTGCTAAGATGCTATGCTTTTGTCCCTTGCGTGTTCCAAAATTAATTGCGTATTCTCTTGGAATTGAACACCAAGCAAAGTATGTGCTGCCTGGCCCAATAGCAGTTTCTGCATGAGGATGTTAGGGTTACACAAACTATTTCGTCAGCAGCATTTCTGTTAAAAGCTCAAGAATGTCTGTCTTTCCAATGATGGGTTGGAAGAAAAGGTCTGTAATGAGAGCTGGAGGAATGGATCTCAAGGAGGAGGAACTCAGCAGGACTCTGGCAAATCGACCTTGATCTTCCAAGTGGAGAAGCACCAGGACTTGTTGGAGTGCTTGTTGAGCTTCTCGCTGGAGGCTCTCAATGTACGAGGAAGCCCTGAGACCTGGAATGTCTGGGGGGGTGGGCAGACAGAGAGAGAGAGAAGAGAAAATCTCAAATGAACCACAGACTCCTTGAAAAGGTAAACTGATTTCCCACATTTGCATTGTGATAGAAGATTAAATTATGCAAAATTAACCCGTTAGAATTAGAGTTAGAATAGCTTAATTATTTATTCCTCAGTTTTTGTAGGCAATTGCTGTGCCTCATTTACCGACTTCTATGAGAGGTGCAGCCCATATCATTCTCCATCTTACAACTCTTCTCCATTTCCCCATCTTTTCCTTCCTTCCCAGAAAAAAAAAATCCATTAAGGAAGAAACAGAAACACCTTTGGAGGAGGTGGCTCCACAAAATGGAAGTTTTTATATTAAACCTATCAGGGTTCTATCCTGGTTCTCTTGCTTTTTAACATCATCATGAAGCCACTACACATTGATTATATGCTACAGGTTATTGTGTGACTCCCATTAACATTTCCACATAGCAGTTAATGGTGGGGTTCCCCTAAAAATCTGTCTACCGGTGGGTAAACTGAATGAAGGATAAACTGAGTAAACTAAAGCTGAATTCAAATAAAATAGAGGTGCTTATAATTCTAGGAATGATAGATCTTCCCCTGCTGAAGGGAGTTACAGTCCAGAAGGATCAGGTGTCCAGTTTGAGAGTGGTTGAGAATATCACAGCAATAAATATAAATGTCCACTAATGGGATTGTTTGATTAGTTGTATCTGGGTGCCAGTTGGAAAGAGCTGATGACAAAGGTTTGCCAATCAGTGGGTGGGTAGAATGGGTGAAAGGTTTATTCTTAAGATAAAAAGTACTCTAGATTTTTGAAGTTGGTAACTAAAATTGTTGGGGTGCTGCACTTTTTATGATAGATGCTGTGAAATGTTGCATTCTGTATCTTTTCATCTATATCCCCTTGAAAAATGCTCACAATTTTTCAGATATTTAGTATCTGATACAGTACTTGGTTTCCAACAAGAAAAAAGTGGCTCTATAATCCTACCCCAGAACTTCCACCATACTGCAAAAAGGGGACTCCAAAATATTGTATTGAACTTCCTGGATGAAGGAGTTTTGCTTGGACTGGTTGTCAAAAATACTAGAACCCCCTTTTAAATTAGATCATGCAATCTGCAGCTCCATTTAACTTGATAAAAAAGAAACGTCTAATCCCATAAAAAGATGTCCTGATGTAATCAAGTATTTTATGAAAACTGTCACTGTCAAACACAGTATTAAAAAGCAGCTTCCTTTATCCACAAGAAAAAATCCTTCTAAGATCTTGCCTACTATGGTATGTCTCCCCATATTTTAATAAAGAACATTTACATGTGCTCTTAAACATGGAGTGCTTTTGTCCGCAACAAGCTTGCCCTTGCTCAAAGGTCCAATACCACAAACATTCATTAATTTACAGATCAATGAACATACTCTGTCCACGTTGAGCAGTTTTGAGGTTCTCCAGTTTCTTTTCCCCCTAAAAGTGTTTTTTAAGGTGGGTACTTCTAGATATCTTAGTATCAGAGAACTGGAAGGGTCTGTTAGGTCCAACCGCTTGTTCAGTACATGAATTTATATTAAAATATCCTCAACAGATGGCTTACTGTTCTTCTAATGGCAGCACTAGATTCTACTTTGGGTATATAAAGTTTAATACTTGGAGAAAAACAGCACCATAATTTATGATGGTCCCCCCTTATAAAGAGTGGTGGTTTTTTTAAACCAATATACACACTTGACTCACTAAAAGGCATGAAGCTAGCCCAGGCTGCAAGTCTATGGAAGAACACAGCTTGTTTCCCCCGTCAAGTATGTGGAAGAAACAGTTGCGTGAAGTGGGGTCCTCTGTTAGCATTCTCAGGCTATGCACGGGGCCACGGCACTTACCAGGGTTGAAGAGAATTGCACCTTTCAGATAGGCATATTCTTTAGGACTCAAGTCTAGGCTCCAGAAAGAGTTTAAGCAGCACTGGAGGCGCTGCACGCTGGCCAAGGTGGGCTGCACTCGCTGCAGCTCCTGTCTCTTGCACTGGCCATCAAGAAGGATCCTCTCCAGCATGCTGGGGACTGGGGTTTCCATAACCTCAAAGGTCACCATCTCCTGCACCAAGCCTAGAAGGAAAAGGGGAGCCCAGCAGCTGTCCAGCAGTAAGAGCTGGTCTTCCCAAGGCAGGAGCTGGAAAGAAGGCAGATTCTTCATGAAGCTGATGGTTTTCACCAAGACGTCAGAAGCTGCCTGGCAGGTGGCTTGTGGGGTCTGAAGGCAAACAGTGCGGCGCTTGTGACACAAGCAGCGCTGTTGGGAAGAGCCACGGCTACTCTTGTGGGGAGTCAAGTTCTCGCTGAGGAGGGTGTAGAGAATGGCATTCTCGTTTTCCTCAGGATGGCACGGACACTTCTCGTACTCCATATTCATGCGCTCTACAAAGCCTACTCACTTGGTACTGTGAAAGCAAGGGCTTTCCTCCCACCTGCTGCTTGAGCAGGTGTCCAGCCCTTCAGCTACAGCACCTTCTTGTTGCTCTGGGGCTTCTTTCGTCCTTTCCTTGGCTGCTGTCATCTCTGCTTATAAGGCTCCTGAAAGGGTGAATAAATCCACCCACTTCAGCAGCCTTGACCTCCCTTTGACGAGCAGCAGCAGTTCATTGAAAAACAAGGCTGCCCCGGGCTGATTGGTTAGAAAGAAATCAAGTCTCCACGTGGCTCAGAGGACCGTTTTCTCAATGAAGGTGCCAGAAGACTTGGACCTTAACTGGATCGCTCGTATCAGTATAAACAAAGTCATTAACCCAGCCTGTACCATGGCACCAAGGCTTCAAGTCTGTAATTAGGCTGCAGGAAATGATAGGGGTCACTGCCAAGGAGTTCACATAAACCACACATGCTTACATCCAGCAAAGACAGTCCAGTGCAAACAGCTCATAAAGTTCTAGCCTTGGAATAAGCAACCTGGAAGTCAAATAATCTAAAGATTGTTTAGCTCAGACAGCTGCTCTTGGCTAATCATGGAGAGAGAAGGGACAAAAATGAGCCAATGAGTTCACCGTGCCTAAAGTACAGCATGGTGTCTCCCATGGAGGAAACACTGGAAATGTATAGCATGTTAGTTTTCTACTTAACACAAATTCAGGTCAAACAGAGGCACCAGAAAGTCCAGAGCAGTAGCAAGGGCAGGTACCAAATTGTTTAATTGTTACCTATGGTTTCTCAACAATGACATTTCCAACAAACTTTTTTGGGGGGGGGGAGCAAAGTTGCAGGCAGATTTTCCCTTCCCCACTTTTTTTGTTTGCTCCCTTATGAGAAGACATCAAACAAGTAGAAGATAGATAATTCTTCTATAGGATAATCAAATGTTCCACAATCAACTTTTCTCTATGTAGCATTTATACACATTACTATGTTGAGGAAAGCCCTGCTAGGACCTCGTTGCCAAGGACTAGAGGACAACTGAGGTCTAAAGCTGAGCAGATTACAAGAATTGTGCAGAGGCAATTAATACCACTGTCCCATGGCAGAAAACACACTGTGTAGCAACCCAGATTCAAGGGAAAAGGGGAACCTGGAGCACACACAGGCACACCACACCACTTGATACCAATAAATCAAGCACATTTTTTCCTTAGGTCATTGACCTGCACAGCCTGAGAAGAAACTAACAATCGGCAGCTTCTAGCCGGGAGAAACACCAAAGTATGTTAAATATCTGACAGGCCGGAGCTGATGGAAATTGACTTTTTTTTCCTCCAGCCTTTTCAATCCTCCAGATGTGGTAGAATTGCAAGGCCCAGTTCCCAGCCTAGAACCAATAGCCACGGAGGCTTGGAATTCTGAGATCTGTATTCCCAAAACTTCTAAAACACATTGCTGTGGGTTACCCAAAGTATATGTATCTCCTCCAGCTTATATATGCATTGCTAGAGGCTATCTGGTATCTTGGAAGTGACCCTATATTCCACTGTTGGCCTTTCTTCACTGGAGTAAAAGAACAACAACGGACAAATGTATTAATTGAAGAGAGCAGAAAGGTACAGAACAGTTTATTTAGAGCTGCTATTTATCTTGGATAGCTTGCTCCTGGGTACTCTGATGACAGTTTGACAACGCATGAAAGCATCACCTTTTTAATCATGCATGCACAATACAAGCTATTTGTAAGCAACAGAAGAGAACTAAATATTCTTGATTGACATGTCCAATGCTGAAAGGAACACATCTGGTAAGGTGGGTAGCTCATCTTCAGCAGGCCAGAGACATGCTTCTTGCTCATTATGTCCCTTTTAACAGCGGAAGAGCCTTAGTTACCGCTGGCGTATCATTTTCTGATGTCAGCACAGTTCATGAGATTGACTTAAGGTGAGCACAAGTCAGTCTCTTTGAAGGAGTCAGTAATATAACCATCTCCCAATTGCCCTTAATTTTGGATTTGTAACTCCCCAAGCCCAATATTGCAACAGAAGCAATAAAGCATTTTGTAGATCCTCAAACTTTTGAGTCTATTCCCACCAAAGCTCTGAGATAAGTTACAACATGGTCTAGGAGAAACAGCTGAGGACAGAAACATTTAGAGGAATGAAAATAAGACCAGCATCTCAGATTATTAAGGATCTTAGCATTCTTGCGATCTATTCCAAATCCTGGACAAATGTACATTGTCTCCAAGCTTAACTACTTAAGTTTGCAGTGTTAATTCTGAAATAAATAGTACTGACTGGCAAAGACATGGATTTGGTATGAATCTGCTCTCCATGCTTTCACTGTAACATCTAAATGGCAACCTGTACATACCCAGCACACACATTCCTGCACTGCTGCACCTTGGAGTTGATGGCTCAAATGGAACAAGCAACAGATGCTTAAAGATTGTCAGTGTTTCTTTTGATTCTGAAGCCACTCTCAGTATTGTTATATGGAGTTATATCTGTATAGTGGTTGCTTGGTTTGAAACAACAACAACAAAAAAGACTGATGGTATTTTTAAGACAAGACTTCCAGCCCTTTATTTAGGAGCAGAAGCTGGGGGACAGAGAATGGTCAAAGATGAATATCAACTTCAGATTTTCAAAAAAATTTTTTAAATACCTTCCCAAATTTTCCAAAACTAAGAAAAGCCCAGGGGAAAGTAGCTATTTTGTAATACAGCTCCCATTTGCTTCAATCCTTCCTCTCCCTAAAATATTGTCTTACAAAGATGAAGGACAGACTTCACCAGGACAACTATTTTTTTAACCCAAAAATGGGGTGATGTGAATATCTGCATCATCCCAAAGGAAAAGGTACATAATTTTTTGCTGTTTAAAATTTAAAAGTTTGTCAGGAAAGGAGAAAGAAAGGGGACAATTGTATTAGTTGAATTTTGCTTTGGAAAAATCCATTTCTGGATGCTGTTCCATGAACCTGTAAAAAGAAGAAAAATGCATATTAGTTGACAGAAATAAAGAGCATCAATACCTAAGGCCCTACCCCCCCCCAAAAAAAAGCATTAAATTGGAAGGAAATAGTTTCTAACTGTTGATGTTAGGTAGTTTGGCTGCTGCATATAAAGCAGGGTCTCGGCAAAGATACATCAGAAAGATAATGCCCAACTTTATTACGTAATAAGGGAAATCTAGTTTGAGAGAAAACTCTTTTTTTTAAGCAAACTCTCTGGAAGGAAAACAGCTTTCAAAATGCAGGTAGTGGCCAGTCCAGGCAAAAGCAATAAAAGCTATAGTAATTGCCATTTTGTAAGGTCCGTAAGCTACCACCGTGGCATTACTGGCCATGATCTATGTAGAATCACATCAGCTCTCTCCTTCACATTATCAGTAAAATTGCCCCATTAAGGAGCATAACAATTGTTGCCTGCATCAGCAATGACAAATCAATCAAATATGCCCTTAGGAACCATCAACTTCAGGTCAAACATGAATTTTCCATTGCAGGCAAATATTCCTGTTTGTGCACTAAGAATGCCATCACTTGAAGGAAGATTTCTTACTAGGGCTTTTTAGAAGTCACATTCCTCAGAAATAGTAATAACCATCACAATTATCTCAGCAATGCTATCTAGCACTATTAGATCACGTTTAGTACTTACAGTACTATTTTCAACCTTTAACCACTTTTATAGTGAGTTTAATTCTTGGAGTTTATATAATTGGCAGAGTTCATACAATTACATTTATGCAAAACCAGGATAAAGCTCTCATTTTATAGAAAGATACTGAAGGCTTTGCCCCATAACCTTTCCACTAAAACACACATGGAAACAGGGGCATGGAGATACTCAAAGAACTGACTCCAATTTACTAAAGCTCAGTGTACATGGATTTCACTGGTCACTTAAAAGCACATCATTTTTTTCAGCCAAATCATTTTACTTATTAATATGTTGTTTAGCCAACATACTGAGAGGACACCTATGACTATTCCATGGGGTTACTTTTCCACACTGTATCTGAAAACTGTACCCAGAAGAAGGGGCAAAGGGTAAAGTTTTAGAACTAATTGACAAATTAAGAATATTGATTGCTGGAGCCGAATGGCACTTCTCCAAGATTTCTTAATGAGCCAATCTGTGAAATAGCTGAATTATTAACTAAGAACACCCTCAATGATATCACAGGCAGTGGAAAGAATTAAGACCCAAAGAAGAGTCGCGGTGGAGAGCTTGGAAGGAGAAGTAAGGCAAACAGCTCATGCCTTGGTTGACTGATAGGGCTAAAATGCAGCGCAAGAACAAAAATCATAAATTTTCTGTACAACATGGCTTGTCTGAATCAGTCACTACTGATACCAGAAGAGGCATTATATCCAAGCCTTGACATTGTGCCTATGGAGATTAGCCAGGGAAACAGACAGAAATTGCCACTACTTCTGGCTTTATCCTTTTCTTCTGCTTGTGCCATTCAGAATGATTGATGAAAAGCATTTGCCTTTTAGTTACCCTGTTCCCAACCTGAGTGCAGGGAGCATCACCCTATCTGGCCTTAAAAGGGGAATTACTCACAGAAGCTTCTACTGAGATCTCTGTCAAGCAGGGCAGTAAAACCATAAAATCCGTGATTGTCTAGTGAGCGTTGTCTTATCAGACTTTGAGGCACATGGAGATTAGAGGCAGAGACACCACGTCATAGTTCAAGCCGAGATGGTACTGCCTGGTTTCTTAGCCTCTACACAGCACTTACTTGCTGGACTGTCCTTATAAACGAGCCACTTCTCACCACAGAGCCTTCCCCCTATTAAAAGACTCAAAAGAGGCAAGTCTGTTCTTGGCTGGAAAACAAGCTTTTGCTCCTTTCTTCACACAGTGTAAAACTGGCCTTACTCACTTTTTTAGTATGTCCTGCTTCTTTTGCTCATCAGATGTGGGAAGCCCCATTGATTTTTGCCGCTGATCATACATCATTTTTTCTACCATGCTGCGTGTTTCACTATCCAAGTCTGATAGCTTGGAAATTGAAAGAAAGATATTAGAGAAATACATATTAATTTGATAAATTTGTAGCTCACTTTCTAGAGAAGACTTTTATATACCATTTAATAAAGAAACACTGATATCACTTGTATAAACAGCAAGGTAAGATTGTTTCTCTCTGGTCCCACAATCACCAAAACTGTCTTCTGCCCTATTCCTTGGTTTTCACTGCTGTATATTCAGCAGCAGCAGCAGCAGCAGCACCTCATCAAGGCCTCTGAAGAAGAGCTTCAGAGAGCATGCAGTTGAAACTTACTAAATGTTTGAAGGAGGAAGTCTTTGCTTGCCAGGAGCAGCATATAAAAAAAGAAGCTAATGCTTGCTTAGGAAAACACATTAGATTGTAGTTTAAAAAAAATGGTTTGCCATTCCTTTCTTCTTGGATGTTTGGAAACTACAGCCCTGGAAAGGTTTCCCATCCAAGTACTAACTGTAAAGGAATTCAGAGCTGACCTTGGAGAGGGTATGAGTCAGCTGTTAAGCAGGGACTTGGAGAAGCCATTACATTGGCTTTCAAAATCCTGTTAATAAACCCTACAGCAATAGCATAACATTCCTGGAATCTCCAGTGTCTGTTTGCTGCCCTGGCCTACTTCAGAGGGCTACCAAAGGGCTACCAAAAAGGAATCCTGACTGAGAGGGTCAGCCAGATGCTGTCATTTGCTGAAACAGACTGTGGTTACAATTTAATAATGTAACTGATTCCATTGTGTGCTGCTAACAATTAATTTTTCAACAGAGCTTGCAAGTCTGTGAAATACAGTGACACTAATCCTTCTCAATCACAGAAGGGTAACCTGAGGCCTACAGACAGCACATGTTTCCCTACTTTCCTCTGAATCCTGGGTGGCAGACCCACTTTTAATCCATAGCCTGCTGAGCAGCAGGGATCTGCTCCACCCTTGTTCATATTACAGCTGGGATCACTCCTATTTCCAGTGGTCATCACAAGGGGTGGAGGAGGTGGCAAAGGTGAGGGTCTCGCCCATGCCATGATCCCTGACAATCTGTGTGTGTGAAGAGTGTGCATGCCTAGGTTACACCTACAGCCACCAAGGCTGCCAATCCATGTCAGAAGTGAAATATCTACATTTGGACCACAAATGGTTAAGCAGCATTAATTTAAAACAAAACCTGACCAAAGAATCACTCACTTTTGAATTCTCAGGGTTAATTTTCTTGGTGTTAATCTCCGGGTCTGTTTGGACTAACTTGTTCCACCATTCCATCTTGTTGATCTAGAGTGAAAAAAGAAATAGTATTGTGTAGAATATATGTGGGGCAACTTCTTTGGATGTGGCATATGCATTAGGGACTCAACATTTTTTATTTTTCTTGCAAAGATGGCAAGATAACATATTCTTCTGTCTCATCACAATATTACTGTATACATCTTACTTGGAGTACTAGGTATATTCTATTAAAGAGATACTAGATCAGTGTTTCCCAACCTTGGCAACTTTATGTTTGGACTTCAACTCCCAGAATTCCCCAGCCAGCAGGTTAGCTGGAGAATTCTGGGAGTTGAAGTCCAGACATCTTAAAGATGTGAAGATTGAGAAGCACTGTACTAGATACAAAACAATCAGCACATATGAGAACTCTTGCAAAATCATCCATTAACTAAAATCCCGAATTATTTGCTTTTTACCTTTTCCAAGTGCACAGTGACTATTTTTCCATCCTCAATCAGCCATGAGCTCTCCTCCACCTTCACCTCATTGTATAAGTCTCCATCAATCACTGGGGGATGGCCCTTCAGGCCCACCTTCAGATGGCGCCTCTGTATATCAACCACCATATCTTTTCCCTTCAGTCTGAAGGCCACATCAAATGGGATGGCCAGCTAGAGAGAACAGGAAGAGAGAACAATGAATTCTTCCGGAAAACCTCAGGTAGGGAAGACGTGCAGATCAGAATTAATAAAATCCTAGGGTTGGAAGGGACCTTGGAAGCCTTCTAGTCTAACTTCCTGCCCAGGGCAGGAATCCTCAAACCAACAGAAATGGCTTTATCTGAAAACTTCCAGTGATGAAGCACCCATGATTCAGGAGACAGGCTGTTCCATTGCTTGATAGTTCTCATGGTCAGGAAATTCCTTATTTCAAGTTTCAACAGCACTCTGTAATCCGCTGGTTCTTGTCCTACCCTCAGGCACCAGAGGACACTTCCCTGTGACAGACTTTAGTATTGGAAAACTATCACCATGTCCCCCCTTAGCCTTCTCTTCTTTAGGATAAACATATCCAGTTATTGAACCATTTTTCACAGGATTTAGCCTCCAAACTCCTTACCATCTTTGTTGCTCTTCTCTGCACTTATAACAATCTATTTCATTACAGTTCTGTTTCCTGTTCTATTTCCGACACAGAACAGCTTTCTATGGCCAACTCTCTTTTAGTGAAGTGAAACACCTATTCCCTATTTAGTCGATTTCCAAGATCAAATCCCTCTATTTTTTCCTTATTATCCAAAAGAGACCCACCTGATTATGAATCAAAATTAAATATTTCACTGATTCAGTCCCCTCATAACAAACAGATGCTATTAGGTAAAACTTAGTATGTGCTTCAAAATCTACACTTACATCCAGTTCAGAGAGGGTCTGTGTCCACCTGTAGTTTGGCAGGTCTGCTCCATTTCCAGAGTTTGGTTTGAGTTTGCCTTTGTCCTTCTCATCTTCCTCTTCTTCATCGGTATCCTTATACAACACAGGCAGTGTACACAAAATGCTTCTCAGAACTTTTTAGTGGGGGATTTTTTCTGTTTACTGCATTATTTATATAGCTGGCAATTCAGGCAGTCTACATGTATATAGTTCAACTTTCTTAAATGTCTACTCTGCTTAAGAAGCCAGGTTTTAAAGATACACTGCAAGGGCCCTTTTGCCCAAAGCCAATCTGGAGATCCTCTGGCATCTACCTGAATAAATCCTAGAATTTCACATTGTATTTACTATATTCTGGCTAACATACTCCTTATTTTCAGCAATGAAATAGCAAACAGAATAGCAATCATCATTTGTGGCCAGCAACTAAAATCTTGAAAAATATATTACTTGCTTGCTGGACTCAGGAGATTCCATTGGATTTTCAACAGACTTGACAGGCATGTTCTTGGCCTCATTTTCTTTCTTCTCTTTGTTCTGTTTCAAAAGAGTAATACCTCCATAAGCCCCATTTTATTTGTGATAAGCACATTTAAGTATTGTTTACAAATAGTAGTAATCCCGCATCTTCAGTCATATGCAATACAAATGGTAGCACTGAATGGACCACGTAAAAATCAAATTGGGGAATTTCCAAATACATAGCAGCCATATTATGCCCCACCAATATAGTGAACCAGATTTACACCTGGTCTATTTCCAGTTGCAATCTTTCTGCCTCTTCATCAGTGAGCTCCTTAATCCTTGGCTCACTGTCTTCCTGTTTAGTTTCTTTGGCAAGTTTAGCGGCTCGTTCTGCTTTTTCCCGCTGCTCTGCCTCTTGACGGGCCTTCTTCTCTTTCTGTGCCTTCTGAGCAAGTTTGTTGTGGCGACTGAAAGTCTCTGTGATTAACTGACGTGAGAGAATAGAAAAGTAGTTTAATTTTCTAAAGACTGAATTGGCCTTATCGTTCTCAGTTACCTAAGCTGCAAAAATGACCTCAAGTCAAGTGCCATACCTGGTGACTGCATCCATGCTGTTTTCTTGGCAGAGATACAGAAGTGAACAAAAAGTAGACCTCTTTCAAAAGGAAGACCTGCTCAGGATCACTCCCCCATCTTTAATATTTTATAAATACTCTGATGAGGGGAATCAGGATTGATATTTAAAAGGTTAAAACTATTACCCAAATTCTAAAACTCTTCCAATTTTTTTTTACAGGGAGCTAAATGCATGAGGTCTGTAAAGTTAATTTGGGGAAGACAAAGATTCACATTCACTACTGGTTAAAATGTTATTTCTTCCTCCAAGAAGGATTGTAACAGGAAACACAGATGTTGAAAGTTTTTTACAAAATAAGACTTATCTGCCCCTTTCCCAAGAGTCCACAGTGAGAATGAACAGGGCTACCTTTGTCCACAGTTTAGAGGAGTCCTGAGGGTCAGGGCTACAGTGTGTTTGCTCCAAGCGGTGACACAATCATTTGACTGCACAACTGGCTTAATTTCAAGGGTTCCCACTGATGGGTGACCTACGCAGCTACTGCAGGAGCCATGGGCCATGAACAGAAGCACTGAAATTGGTAACGCATAATCTATTTTGCCCTTTGGACAGTGACATGTTGGAGACGTATGCCAACTTATGACCTTGTCTACTGCCACCAATTTGAAAAAAGGACAGGAGATGAGCACTCTTTAAGTGGTGAACAACTGAATATCTCAGCCCTAATGTATGAGCCTAGTAATTGCTGGCTTACTCACATAACAGAAAATCTGATTTCAGATTCTAGTGACCTTATTCCCTACTTGGAATACTCATTTTACTAGTTTAGGGAGCAAACAGATTTTAAACAGCAGTATTCTAGATACTTCCCTTATTGCACATAATTCCCTAACTTCTGCTGCCCTACAGCCCCTATAGGTTGCTTAATTCCCCAGGATTTAAATACACACATATAGCTGTAAGGATCACTTTCCAATTTCCTATATCAGCTTTACAAACAGACTCTGATTGAAGACAAAAAGTATGAGCCAACACTGTAAATCACTCAGAGAATGCAAAAGCCACTTTTGAAAGGCTTTATAAGTAATTATAGTATGCAGAAGAAATATATAAAATGGCTTGAGCATATTTTTAAAATCTAAATTTTATAAATGAAATATTCTATTTAAACTGCTCATTCATTGTATTGAATGGATAACAAGTAAATCTTTTTTTAAAAATCACAAAGCATTATTTGGAACACTTACAGAAGACTTGTTAAAAAATAAAAAAACATGATGTGTCATATTCCCCCATCACTATATCAGTGAAACAGTGATTTGGAAATGGAGAGTGATTTGGATCACGCACAACATTTCACATAATCGGGTTAGAGAAACTCTGCTCTTTGGGAACAAGCCACTGTTGAAGAATTGGACTTAGTACTTTCTAGGAGAGAACAAACAAAGTAAACTGATATTATTGATCCTTAGGTGTCTGAGTCAGGCCAATATGTTTTTGACATGCTAACTTTTCAACTAGCCTTTGGTCAAAGCTTAACCAAACAAAATGAACCCAAAACATCTAATATTGTCATACTCCGAAATAAACCTGTTCAAATAAGGTCAGGCATAACTTAAAGTGGCCTCTCCAGGTTCTTTCCAGAGCCAGCAACTGAATGGAATGGAATTGCACCACAGCAAAATCAAGGAAAATTGGAGATTCAAAAGCACAATGTGGGAAATATTTCAGTCTTCCTTAAAGAGAAATTCTCTATAAGCCAAATCACATACCTTCTCAGCAGCACCTTCTCCTCCTCCTACAAAGAAATCAGTTTTGCGTCTCAGGAAGCTGAAAAAGGTGTTCACAAGCTGTAAGAAACAAAAGTAGCATAATCAAGGGGTAACAAGTTCACATTACAAGCTACATTTTGAACATATTCTTTTATATAAAAAAAAACAACGCCATATGAAGTGACCCACCTACTCAAGTTGCTTGTGGAGAGCCAGTTTGGTGTAGTGGTTAAGGTGTTGGAGTCAAAACTGGGAGACAGTGAGTTTTAATCCCCCCTTAGGCAGGAAAACTGAATGGGTGACTTTAGCCATTCTTTCTCAGCCCAACCTACCTCACAGGGCTGTTATGGGAAAAATAGGAGGTAGGAGCATTATACATGCTATCTTGAGTTGTACAAAAATAAAGGCAGGATACAAATATCCTAATTATCATCATTAATGTAGGGTGCGTTTGTCTGTATTAAGAGGGTCAAAGACTAGATAATATAAACAATGTTATTGTTTTGCTAATACTAATGATTCAATTATTCTTCTGTCCCCAGGACACAATCTTGAATAAACTACTCCAGAATCAATTGTGCAGAAAGGAAAATGAAGCAAAGAAACCAGTGATCTGGCTATAGAGAATTGGTCTCTGTTGTCCATTCACTTTGATGATAGGATTAAAGGAACAGCTACACCTAAACAGTGTCATCATTTAGCCCCTGATAGAGTAGTCAGCCTACCAGGTGGAAATGCTTTCCCATGCTTGTTCTAACAGACCAGTTGATCCTAATTGTTGATTTTAATTGAAATGGCATAAGTAAAAGTAGTATTGCACGTAACTGCATTAAAAACTCAACTGCTAATCCATAATTATTTGAGATAGCTTGTGCAGAAGAACTTAAATCTTATATTAAGGTAGAGTAGTAAAATTTCTTGCAAGATGACTTTAAAGTTTTAGTTGCTGAGTCATGGTTTCAATGACATGCTACATTTTCATCTCCTGGTTAATTAATCTGCTTCCACTGGTAAGAGGATCAAGTCAACAGGAAAGGACTTTGTATGGCACCATTCAACCTGTGAACTGTATGTCAGGATTTTCTGGTATTCTACTTTATAAATCTGTAAAGAGTTCCATGTCTATTACTTACCAATTTTTTGTTATTATATTTGCCTGAGGCCTTTCAGCAGTGGGATATTCTATAGCATTATTGCTGTGTGAAGAGGTATTTCCTTTCATCATTATCAAGACTTTAGCGAGCCTTAGGTAAAGGCAAACCCTAGTATTACAGAGGAAACGTTTCTATTTTGCTGGGTGACAGGAGAAAGTGGCCAGAAGGTGCCAGAAGACTTTAGTTGGAACCTATTATGTTAAATGAAGTATAAAATGTATTGACAAAATGATCTTATATGAATTTTTATTCACTCCACTATCTTAAGATTTCATTAACAATTTTATACATTTGACAATTTACTTTGTCAAATGTATGAAGACTTCATATGTGTTTGTGTATATGGCAACAATACACACAGAAGTATGCTTGTGCACATATATCGGGACAATTTGCCTTCACTGGGTGGTATGGTTAATGATGCTGTTGTTATGCTGTGAAGATTATTACCTTACATTTTATTATTACTGGATGCAAGTTGCTCAGATCCTTCAGGAATTGAGCAGCACAGAAACTATAACAAATAAGTGAATAAACATTATAGACTCAGTGACACCAAAACATCAAGTGACAGGAAAGAGATTAGGAAGTAAGCAATAGCGGTGTTTTCTAAATGCATAAACTTCAAATGCTGAACTACAACTCCCATCATTCTCCACCAACAAAGCAAATGCCGTGTTATTGGAAGGATGACAGATATATTCTAATACATCTGAAGGGCAGTGGAAAGTTGCATTATATTTGTTAGATTTGTATTTTGCCTTTTCTCCAGGAGTACATAGCAATTCTTCCTCTAATCCCACCCCCACAAATTGTGATGTAGGTTAAGAATGTGTGACTGATCCAAGGTCACTCACTGAGCTTCCATGCCTAAGGATGGACTTGAACTTGCATCTCCCAATCTCTGTCCAACACTTTACCGGTATAACATGTGTGCTCTCAATGACCCCTACAGTACACAAACACAGAATTAGTTAAATGCAAATTCCAATCTGCATAAAAAAATAACTGAAAGAGACTAATGGCTATAATAAAATTGCAGGAAAAGAATGCAGATTCATACCAAGAAACAGGTGATTTCTTAATGGCATGGTGTGTTTGCTTCTGACACATTCAACAAACCACAATTAAGCAAGCCATAGCATAATGTGATTTGTAAACTCCATCTCTGTACTGTAGAGTGATCCAGATGATGGCTCTGAACTTGCATTTGGCTCAGAATAGCAGTATTGTACAAATATGAACCCCCACACAGTATGCCCATTTGGGCTATAACTGGTCCAAGGTCAAAAAGAGCTTTAGATTACGGGTAGCCAGGATTCAGCCTCTCAAGAGATCATTCATCAGAAATGTTTTCTGGAACACACTAGAAATTACAGCAGCAACAAATCACAGGAGGAACTGTGCCAGTTTTAAAATGCCACAGAAACCACTAAACCACAACAAAAAGTCTTGCGGCACGTTAAAAAATAGCGCATTTATCCTAACATCGTTTTTTTACCCTAATCCTTTCCAGGAGTGGCCATTCTTTCAAGAACCTTAGTGCCACCGCTTAACATGCATATCTTCAGGGCAGTTCACCCCATACACCCACATTTATCCTCACCTTTCCTGGCTCTCCCTGAATCAGAGATACAAGCTAGAATTCTACATCTTAAATCAGTTTCCAGCATCTCCTACGGATCTTTTCTTCGGTGATTTGTGGGGGCGTTCATTCGGCAGCATCGGCTCGTCCGAGGTCTAATTTCTCTGGGCCCCTTTGCCGAAGAGAAGGGTAGCCCTGCCGCTTATGCCCGGTCAGAGCGACCTCCTCCCTATCCCTGCGTGAGATGCTTCAGGGGGTTCAACAAGGACAACCATCCTCTCCCGCTGAGATTCCGTGAGGGAAGGGAACGACTCCAAGGCGGAGAAGCTCCAAAACGAAGGCCGTTAAGAAGCAAGGACCGCCCGCTCCTGCCCTCCATTTTACCTCACGCACGCCGCCCTGGTGCTGCTGGGCCATGGCGAGCAACATGCCGTCGAACCGCTCCTCGCTGTCGGCAGCCTCTTCCCCGCTAGCCCCCATGTCCGCCTGGATCGCTGGCCGACCTCTCCCCTTCCGTAAGGGCCACTCTCTCCCCTCAGCACGCACCCCTCAGACCGCGGCCGGAAGCGGAAGTGGGACGCATTCTGCCCAACCCGTTCCGGAAAGGTTTTGGCCAACCCTCGAACTCGCCTCTTGATTGGCACCCAGCTCCTTCAATCCGCGCCGAAAGGAAGTCAAAGACGGTCCGTTAATCCCTGTGTTTGGCGTCGGTTGCCATGGTTACCTCCTCCTGCAGGAGGGCCGATGGGAAGACACGCTCGCGGCGGGTGGGAAACGGCGCGCGGGTAGCTGCGCGGATCTGCTGGCCGTTTGCAATAAAATGTCTGAAAAGGATTGACTCGCGCCTTGTGCTTGTTGTATTTGTTACCCCGCTCATTCGCCCCCAGTTCGTTTTCTTCCCCCAGAGCAACTCTGTAAAATGACTGGATGAGGTGGCCCCATTGGTTGTAACATTTAATCCTCTCTCCTAGCCTTTTAATAATAATATTAATGTTTTTAATTGTAGAGTCTCTTTTAGTATTGTTATTGTATGGTTGTTAATTGTACGCCGCCCGGAGTCATGTTTTGTGAGATGGGCGGCCGTATAAATATGATAAAAATAAGCAGAATATGAGCGGATTTAGGTCAACCAGCTCCGTCAAGACTTGGGGTTTGAAGTTGGTGGCTTTTTTTGATTTTTTTTTTAAGGCTTAAAAACAGGTTTTGAAATATGTTTGAAAAGCTGCTCAACACAAGCTATGCTGTGAAAAGTTCCACAAGAGTATTGATACAAATCCCTAGTTCACACACTGAATCTTAAACTAAGCAAATGGGCTAAGTTTGCACAACCTAACGCTAACCTACTGGTCCACCCACCCACAGAAATAAACTTGCCAAGTAACCAAGGTAAATCACACAAACACACCTGGTTGCACATGTGTGAACATAAATCAGTTGTGAAAATCCTCAGATTCTATTGAAGATTGAAAAGAGCTATGTTAGGAACATGCAAAGACAGGTTAGCACACAAAACAATATTGCAATAAAAATAATAAAAATGAGGTGTATTCCCGAGATAATATAATTCTTAGTACCTCGTTATTGACAAATACGTTAAAAAGAAGAGGCCTTACAAAATAAAGCACTGAAAATACCTAACTCAAAATCCCAGGAAAAGCACATTGTTTGTGTGCCTTCAAGTCATTGTTGACTCCTGGTGACTGTCTGGACCAGTCCCTGCAGTTTTCTTAGCAAAATTTCGGAAGTGGTTTGCCATTGCCTGCTTCCTGGGGCTGAGAGGTATGACTGGCCCAAGGTCATCCGCCTGGCTTGTGCCTCAAGCGGTACTAGAACTCAGAGTAATCCAATCAGGAAGTGACTGAGGCATGAGTGACCATGAGCAAGCCCCCCTCCCCCTTCCGGGAATGAGTGTAATTGGCACACAAGATGAATTTGTGCCACAACTCCAGGAGGACCCCCAAACTGTGCAGCAGGTCTGTCTTCGTACCTCATCCAGAGTCAGATGTCAACTGATGAATTGTCTTGTACCTTCCTAGGCTGCATGCACCCATATTTTGGAGACCGCTGATTTACCATATTGCTGATGGGAACCCAAGGCTTATCTAAGACATGGCAAAGACAAGGTTTTCAACAAGGGTCATTAGGTTCCATAACTCACAACCTTTGCCAAACAAACAAACTGCAGTCTTATTGAAAATCCTTTTCAGTTCAATGGTGTCTTTTGCCTAAGTACTCTGGCAATAAAGACTAGTTGTATCTTCACTTTTTTCTTAGTTCATACTGACAAAAGCTCGAAGGGCATCTTTGCAGTTTGTAGCAGTCTTGAGTTTTGCTCTTTCCATTCCATTATTAGTATAATTTCCTAAAAGTCCTTTGTGCCCAACAGCATAAAAATAAACATTTGTGGGGGCTTTCTGGTGAAACTTTTTCCTATGATGTAGTCAGCGACAGAGGGAAAGTTGTATAAGCTCCCTAGGGAGAAACACCTGGCCTTGTGACTTATGAGGTTAAAGTCCATGGTTTAAAACAAAATGCCAGCAGTCATTTACAAGTGGTTATTCCCCTTGTTAGAATTTTATAGTAAGGAATGAAGAAGCAGAACGTTGATGTTAACACTTTAACTGCATACCAACTTTTAATATCTATAAACTTTTTAAAAAACAAGTAGTAATTCCTACTCCTTCAATTGTGCAGCCTATGTAATGCAGTCAGTTATTCATTCAATACTTTTTTATTTTTAATAATGATAATAATAATTTATTAAATTGATATGCCGACTGACTCCCAGCAATGCTGGGCAGTTTTAAAACATGTTTAAGAATAAAACAGAGAAAAGGGGAAGATTTACAAACTATAAAATTTAGACAAGAATTTACAACATGTTAAGAAAAAGAGAAAAACATTCTTCATTCTACTAGCAGAAAAACTTCCTGCTAATAACATTAAATTGGAAGAAAATATAAAGATAATCAGATATCAGTTTGGCACTTTTAAAGCTGTTAATAATTTTTATCAGTCAAAATAATTACAAGAATTTCTAACTAATCTGAAGCAGTCCATCCTTAACTTTATGACCAATCAGACAAAATCGGGTATTTTAAGACCTTTTGTTAAGAGAAACCCAAACTTCAGATGTGCAGAAGTCTATATGCAGAACTATAGTCCGATTAAATTTAATTTGAATTTAATTATTCAGACATTTTTAGTTATGAAATTTACATTGACGCATACTCCCGAAGCTTAATGTGCAAATCCTCCTATGAAGAAATTGAGTG